GAAGAGGTATTTGCAGTAAGGGGATTGCAAATATTAAGGTCATTAAGGTCACAATTATCTCAAAACAGGATAGGAATCCATACTTTGGCTATATGCTTCAGTAATTTGAAGATAAATTATTTCAAGAATAGCTTATTAGGAACTAAAAACCTGCCCTCAATTTAACTTTGGTATAGCTGTCCCTGTCATAAAAAAATGTAGATTTGCAACAGCTGCTTTCTTTAAGCCTTCTCACAGGTAAACTTGGGAGGCCTGACCAGAATGATAATAGGTCAGAGTGCAGACAGCACTTCATTTTCAGTCTTGGTTTCAACCTGAATTCTTGCCTTACTGCTGGATGTATCATCTGATCTGCTTAAAGCAGCCAAGATACGGCATATCCTCTGAAGCTTAACCTCCTAGTAGGCCATTGCTCAATGCTGTTTTTCAGATTGTTAATAATATAATTAGATTTGCCCACTAGTAAGTTGATGGGGTTAAAAACTAGCAGTAAACTAACATAGAGATGAACCATAACAAAAGCATATGAAGCTGCTGATCCCCTGATTTTAGTAATGGTCCTGGAATTAAGTCTGCCATAGGTAGGCAACTTGCATTTTGAAGTACCAGGGACAGAACACTCCAACTTCTCATCAGAAGAAGCCTCTGCAGATTCCAACCACCTGAGCCATCTTCTGAAATGCTTGTTAAGATTTTAGATACCAACCACCTCAACCATCTTCTGAGAGGCTTGTTAAGCTTTCAGCCACTCACACATCAGGGAGACATTTATCTACAGAATTATTTTCAGACAGACCACAGGAGAAACTGGCAGGACTGGCATCACTAAGGGTGGCTCTTTCATTGTGAGAGTCAACCTCCGAATACTCCAAAATAGATAAATACATCACAACTTATGCAAATGTAGAATCATTCTCTCACATTTGCTTCTGAGAACATTGCTTGAAATTCAAAGAAAAAACAATGAAAAAGAAGATAATTTTCTCCAGTTTCCTACAGCCATCATCTTTAAAGTAAGATCTGGTATAGACCCACACTGGTCAACTCACAACACATCATTTTAATTTCCAAGGGGTCTCCTGCCAATAATATTCAAAATGCTAAAATCACTAAAAAAAAAAAAAATACACTATCATTCCACTGCCTTCTCATTTGTAAATCTATATGAAAGTTCTACTATTCCTCAAAAAGATAAGTTACACGACATCTTTAATGATTTCCTACAGCACTAATAGTCAACAATATCGATGCAAGAATGAAATGCATTAGTCGCATGTACTTTTGCATAACAAAAAAAAAAGACAAACAGAAAACAAAAAAAAAAGACAAAACTTGGAAGATTAGTCTTTAAATGACCTCACATACAACGTTGAACAGCCTTAATTAAAAATAAATAAAACCAAAAACAAAGAAAAACCTCCAAACCCCCAAATCAATATGCCCTCACATAAATATGTAGCTGTTTAACCACAGAACTGGCAAAGCTTCATTGCTTGACTGGATTTTTACTTTGAACAGTTCTACACAGCTTTTATATTCAACAAGCCTGGTAAACAAGCAATTTCGCTTAGAAATCTAAACAGTGCCTACCAGCCCTCAACATGTTTAAGATTTGCTCAGCAGAGCCCATTCCCAAAGCACCCTGGCTGCAGACACCTTACAAGCTCTCCTACCTGCAACTTCCCAGGGCTCCTATGACTGTCAGCTTGCACACTGCTTCAGATGTACAAATCCACTGCTTTAGCCAACTTCTGATACTGCTGTGCGAATAATGCAGATTCCAAAGTAAAAATCAACAAGCTGGCAAACACAGTAGCTTTGCTCTTCAGCTGCAAATAATCTGCAATGCTTTCTTGCCATATCTCTGCTGCAACATTTAGTGTGTCAAAAAAAAATCTGAGTAATCAAAAGCACTTGTCTACAACCAAAAGCAATTTTCGGAATGGAAAAACCAGAAACATTGTCAATAAAAACTTTATTAAAAGTTATAATTGGGTAAACTGTTCTGGAATTGTACTCAGTATTTTGGAAACAGTGACCAAATACACAAATCAATATGACACAATTAGTCTACCTTCCCATCTGCATCATAACTACATTTATTTTTCACATGTAGCTGTTTGTTTTTATTAACTCCAAAGGAATCCAAAACATCAGCAAGAACTGACCTATGCTTAATTAATTCCTCATTATTACAGTTTTAATCTGAAATCTGGATACTCTAACGTACCTATTGACTCAAATATAATTGTCTGAGTATTACTTTCTGGTTAATGTCTACAGTTTTTATTTCATCATGACTTAGCTGAAATCCCTCCATAGCTATTTCAAAATACTTAGATAACTGCTACTGTTACAAAAATGTCAAAACAACTTACATATCTTTCACATTGTAAGGCAGAATAAATACAAGTTGACACAACAAGAGTCATTGTATTTAAAATGTCATTGTAATTTACAGTTTCCAGAGTGAAGGGATAAATGTACGTTTGGATTTCTTTTGAAATTTTAACTAACCATGACGTAAAACAGCCAATCAACAACTGAATATAACTGAAAATAACATTACATTTATGACTGGTATTTCAGCTTAGCTTATTCTAAAATTTTCCCTGATCACTTAATATTAAGTATATTTTCCAGTCATGCCTGTAAAACAAATTAGGTTCAATTTAATTGACAAAATTCTCATTATAGTTTTGAATTTAGCTATTCAGAACATTGACCAACACTTAAAGCATGTAGCTTCTACAATATTGCTTTTGTCTATGCTACAGATAGAGAAAGTGTTAAAACTTGTTAAAAAATATATTGTAAAATTTTGGAAAAATTAAAGCATCCACACTTCTCATGGCTAAATATAAATAACATCTGCTGCAGAAACTGCTTGGTACTTGGGTACAGTTTTTCTACAATTCCTACTATTCCTACTCAACTTTGAAATTTTATTTAATTATATTCCAAGGGGTCCTTTAACAATCATTAGAGAAAAGCAATATGTTATTTAAAAGAACACTTACATTCTTTTACATTTCAACCATTGTTCATTCATCTTATCATACATACAAGGGCGAAGCAATACCTGTACTTAGTGGCCCTGGTTTTACAAAAATATTTTAGAAATGCTCCTATTTCTCAGCATGCATAGTAACATATTAAAAATGCTCTTTTTGAAATGAAATCGGTCCTTTGATGATTCAAGCATTTTATTTTCATTTCACATTTCACTAGTGAAAACAGAGGCACAGCAAAACATTTAAGAAAGAAAAAAAAACTCTATTCAAAATTCACGGAGTAAAGTTCCTATTTTGCATTTGCAGCAAAGGACATCATTTTTTCAAAAACAAAATACCAGCAGTAGTATCTGATGGTGTCCTTCAGTTAACCAAGATACTTTTTTTTTTGTAATTTAATTTTTCCCTTTTATTAAATAAGTTCAGTACAGACATACACCAAGCTCTTGGTTTGACTCCTTCCCTCCTTCCCGCCTCCCCTCCCTAAAACATGCGTAAGCTGTGCACATCTATCAAAATTCTTGGATTCAATATTTCATGCAAACTCAAAATAGCAAGGCTTGCTCATCATGAAAATAATCCAAAAGTTTTTTTTAAAAAATGCAGTAGAAGCATATTAAAATTTCCATTATGTAAGCATGTAAAGACTTTTTGCTGTACTAAGATATCAAACAACTGGTAATGATGATCATCACTTCTGTTGTTAAGAGCATCAAGGTTTAATATCTCAGCCTAGAAATGGATAAGGAGAGTCTTTTCAGTAAAAGAGAAGAGATGCTGGTTTAAACTGCAAAACATTCAGTATGAACTCTCAAACCCATCTGCGTGGCCACAGCTGCAAAATGGAGAGACTGAATCTGCCTCACAGGAAAATAACTGGTGTATTTCAAATGGCATAGAGAGAGTCCTCTACATTCACTATTCCTGTGAAACCAGAGTGGAACACTTCTGAAGTAAAATTTCTAACTGAAGTCCTCAATCAACTTTAAACACAATTTGGCCACTTTAAAAAGGAAAAAGACAATGAACAAAGAAATCATATCATTTGATTTGTAAATGGAACTACAAACTTTAGTATTTTTCAGAAAGACTTTATTTGAGATAAAGAACCATATCTAAGATTAAAAAAGATTTAAAAAAAATAAAAAGCAACAAACATGGAGTAAGAGCAAGATGCTGAAATGGTTTTGACTCCACAATAATGAAAAACACCATTCACAGGACAAACAGGAGATTTCAGTCTTTAATGTAAAGAATCCTTTAAATAACCCCTACATATGAAGAGAAGGACACAACAAACTATACACGAGCATAAAAAAATTGATTTCTTCCAACTTTAAAGGAATAATTAGAATTTCTGAAATTAGCCACCTTGAACACTTCCTTAAAGATATACGCAACATATTAGGAATGTATTCAAGAAGAATTTTTCAGAAAACTAAGAGCACAAGGTATACTGAATGGAAAAAAGTATATAACTATGTGATACTTGCAAATTAGACAAAGACATCACACACTAAAAGAAGAAAGTCAGAACAGAGTAATGGCTTCAGAACAAGAATTGCAACTTTGCCCTCACACCAGTATACAGCAACTAAGAAAAAAGCTTTTACATAAAAGGCTACTCATGGAAAGGATAATGGGATAGTGCAAGATCAAAACTAACAGCAAACAAAAACAAGCAAAACAAAAAATACTCCAAACAGCTTTTGATAAGAGTAGTTAAAAATATCCTTCTCCCTTAAGCAAAGCACAGTGAAAGCAAGAAGAACTGTGTTTACTGGTGTGTTTTTCAGGACACTCAACTCCATAGAGAGCACACTGCACTGCCAGGTCTTTGGGACAGGGCCTGCACTCGGGCTATGCACTTTCAGAGAAAGTCAACTGAGGCCACTCCTTAACTAGGACGTCAAGGAAAAGTCATAGTGGGTCAGCAGTGTGCAGAGAGTAAATACAAACAAGCAAGATGCTGCCAGGTCAACCTACCTCTTGTACGGAGCGAGCTGCTGGCTTGTCTTGATGATTGGCCAGTATTAAAAACGGCAAAGTACATAACTGTGGGTGCTGGAGAGCAGAATGCAGTTCATTCCTAGCAGTTTCTAGATCATCTTCAGAGGAGGCACTGTCTAATACAAATATTACCCCTTGGGATCCTTGGTAGTAACGACTCCAGTATTTCCTGATATTGTCAGCCCCTTTCAAGACAATAATAAAAAACTAATCAAAACAAGCAAAATTAAACAGATTTAAGCAGACTTAAAATAGAATTACATAGATTTAAAACTCTTATCTGGTACCAGCCCTCTTGCTTGGCATGATCAAAACCCAGGATTTTTTCATTCCTTAATATGCATTATTGAAAGAATAAAAGGAAAATAATCAAACCTAGCACATATAGACATACAAATCCAACATTTTCATAAGGGAAGAGTCTAACTGACAGTTACTCATGTCTGAAAGCTTCTGCTCCATTAAACAGTACTGGTGAACTATTATGCTTCCAGTGTTATGTAGCCTAAAATTCCGTATCTTCTTACAGAAATATCCTGTTAATGTATAACTAAGTCATCTTTTGCCTGCTCTCTTTTCCCTAGCCCTACAGTTCATTGCTGTAACTTGTCATTTCCATCATGTTGTTCCTTTCTGACAGTGATCAGGTCTTTCAGTTCAGCTCCAAACCACTACACAAAGCACTCCATCACTGGAGGAAAAAAAAGTCTACTCAAGCTGTAAATGCACATTTAATGAGGAGAACTGGGATATAACAGTGAGGTGAACAAGTAAATGTGGTGATAACTTGCACAGATACTGCAACTAATTTTGCTGTGGTAAACATGCTAAAGATTCTGGAAAAGTCCAACAGAGAAGACACACCAGTGACTGCACAGGTTTATGCACCACAGTGATTTTTAGGACACAGTTCAGTGGCACTCAGCCAACTCAACACAAGCCAAGCAATAAGGTTATTGATGGAAAGCTTTGTCTCCTCTGGAGAGCAGCATATGTTAAAACACCGAGTTAGAAAAAAAAAATCCTACTTGACAGCTGTCAAACTACAGTATGATTTTGCTATTCTTTGTTTGTCTGAAAATAGTACTACATCCATGGGGACTAACATTAAAAAGTGAACAGAAGCAGCAAAACTCTAGGATAGAAAGTGATGTGTCTGTAATAAACACAGCAATTTAAAGAAATGTGCTAAAAGTATCTTTTACATGTACTATTCTTATTTTGAGAAGGAGATAAATGAGACTTTAATGTAGACACACATACAAAGTACTGATAATAAGTAAACTCCATTTTTCAGTGAAACAAAACAGCTACCCACAAAAGCTCTGACCAGGTGGCAGGCATCAAATCAGAATTTAATGCAACATGATTACAATATCATTGATATAGCATTTAAAATATTCACTTAATTTGTGCGTTGTGCAACAAAAAAGGGACAGCCATTAAACAAAAGTAAGAAAATCTGTATTCAAGACGGAATTTATAGCATATAATGTAAGCATCCAACTCAGAGTACTTACTCCATGGAGTTTCTTTCTTCTGTATACAAACTACAGTGGGACCTTACAGATCTAGTTCTTACCTTCTGTACTCTTTACTAATTCAGCCAGACTTATAAATCAACAATGCAAGAAGAGGTGATTTTATTTCTTTTATCATCAGTTTATCAATTTGAACAGAACTTAAACAGAAAAGGGGTTACAGTGGAACTGAACTGTACATTGCCATACCACCAAAAGTTCTACTAATTCTACTTGTAAAGAACTTCAGAGCATCTATTAGATGCCCTACTCCTTCCAGCTGTATGTCAGTCTCAATATAACAAGTTGCTACAGGAATTTTCAGCTGCCTAGAGATATCATTTGTATGACCATACACAACAATATCACAGTCACAGAATCCAAGTTACCACATTACTTCAGCACTGGTAGAGAATCATTCTTCATTTACAGAAAAGCTAACACCACAATCTGAAAGTCTTTTCTTCTTTGCTGGCAATACAACATCCATCTTACTTACTTGAAGCTCCAGACAGCTACTTTTCAACCATATGTTCTTGCCTGAGCCTCAGAAATCTTATCTCTGTAACAATACCAATGATTTCTAAGAGAAAAACTGTGTCCCAAACTGTCGAGTGCTTGACCTCTTCTGTCCAGGTACTCAGAACAAGGCAGCACAGGATCCTTAAATGAGACACTGGAGCCAGGAAAGCAGCGTGTTCAATTTTTGAGCCTGTGGTCTTTTTGGTTCTTTAGCTTGGGAAGGCCTAGATGGAAAAAACTTTATTTCTGCGCAAAACTACCTCAAAAGAGGTAGAACAAAAACAAAAACAACAAACAAGAAAACCACACACACACCAAAACTCTGCACTAAGCAGAAAAGAAAGAAGATCGTGAATATCTGTACCTCAGGGTGCCATTTTAACTCATGTTCCTGGCAAATGCACTTGAAAAACAATTCCTGGCATCAGTAAGCTATCAACAACTGGAAATCACAATTTCTATAAGACAAATCATCTTACATTCTTTGGTCTTAACCCTTTACACAGCGAACCAAACCGAGCTTCTTTCTCCAAGGCATTACATAGCACATGTTAGTGCTACTCAGGACAATGGCCTGTGAATAACGATCCAGCAATTGAATTTCTTGACACGACGAGTACAGTCTTACAGAAAAAAAAGTTGTTTTCAAAGGTGTACTTTAGTACAAACTATCCCATGAATTAATGGGTTCATCTTTTCCAAACGTTTTTAAGATAAACAATTTGAAAGTATGACCCTCCTACCAATCCTGACTCCACATGTGCCTATGAGTCAGCAACTTAGTTGGTACCCGAATGTCCTATCAAAAATATTAATGTACACTATAAGCATTTAGTTTTGTCAGCCTAATGCAGTACTCTAATATCTTTGCATGCCCATTTCTATTTTCAGGCTTGAACCAATTTGTGCATAAACTAAATTACAAAGTTTGGGCAAAAACTCAAAAACATCACAAAAGCTTGACAACAATTCACATTAGATTTAAAGAACGTGTTATGTGGAAGGTTTGCTAAAATATGGCGTTTAATATAATAGTTTTCTCAGAGACCAGCAAGAGGCATGACTCATGCCCAGGTGTACAGTTTGTTTCCCTCAGCTATGAAACCATGAGTGCCAAAACACCTGTGATGTGACTAGAACATCCTATTTACATATAAATTTAAACAAAACACAGTTCTGCTACTTATAGAGAAGCAAAGATAGTATTTGAATTACTTTATAAAAGGAGAAAAAATAACCTTTATTCTAAGGAAAAAACTAAGGGGTAGTATAATTCAAAATGATACTTATTCAGCATTATTATGAGACAGGAATATATCAACTAATTTTTTAAAATTAACAAAAATCTGTTTTCATATATAATTTCAGAAATATCAAATATTTTTTTCGTTAACCCCAAGAGTACAGTGTTCACCATAGTTTATGATTTTTTATCACTGCCAGTAGTATCTTTTAAAATATCACTTGGAAGCTAGAGGGAAGAGTTTATGTGAATTATGTGTCGTTTAATACATATCCAAAACAGGTTGCACAATTGTTCATTCAAATATTATGTGAAATGCACAGCTGCAAATCTTCCTTTTAACTATTAAGCTTCTCTTTAAATCTTCATTCACGGCTGTTTTTTTCTTCCTTTTCAATAATTCCAGCATAACCAAACATCACATTACAGAAAAATTTCATTTGATACAACTTTAAAGATGTCCAATTTGTTACTTGTCATACTTGCCTCCAATCTCTATCAGGAGGACAAAGAATGTCACACACCTCCTGCTTCAAGATAGTCTAGCCTGTGCATGCTCTTATTCACCTCAAAATAGTCTGAAGGAGTCTGAAGGATTCACATCACAGCTGTGGAGAAGCTATATTCCCAATCCAGGGAAGATGCACATAACCTGGGGCCACAATAGAAAGCAAGTCGCAACCAGTTTTGCTACAACTTCAAATACAGTGTCAAGTCCAATGAAATAAGGACACCTACCTATTTTGAACACTACATAGTGGATAAAAAAGTTATACTGCTAATTTTCCTGAACTGCAATTAAACAGAACATTTCTAATCAGCAAAACCATGAAAAGATGACAAGGAACATGTCAACGGTGCCACAATATCTTTTCACTTTTAAGGGGTAGCCTGTATGCAAGGAAAGAGGA